ATATATATATAGATATATATATAGATATATATATATATATAGATATATATATAGAGATATAGATATATATATAATATATTAAATGCTTTTTATTAATTCTTCAGTTATTATTATTAGTGTATTGTATATATTTTTTTCTTTAATTTTACACTCGTCGTTGTTGTTAAGCACTTTGATAACAGGTTCTATTTTAAATGTGCTCTATAAATAAAGTTGACTTGACTATATTTTCAGTTATTGGGATATTACACTAATTTTTAAATCATTTAAAATATACCCTTTTTTTTCTATGCATCAATTCAAACATCTGTTTGAAGAAACCTAAAATGTTACATGTGTAAGGTCATTTGGTTCCTTTTCCCTTCTAGGTGGTCTACATAAAATACATATTTGATAAACCAAACAAAATAATGTTGTTTTATTACCTTCCTATTTACTTACCTGTTGATTCCAGATAATCTCTTCACAGTTGTAAGACATTTCTTCTCAGCCTGTATTTAACAAATTTTGTAAAAGCTTTTAAAAATAATACAAATTCTTACTCAAATTACCCAAAACTCTCCATTATTATGTCAAAATAAAAAAAAATGAGGTTGTAGGGCCTATTCATATAATAATGATTGCTTTTGTGAGCGTTAAAGATCATGAAATGACTTTGCTCAGTGAAAGGCTCACAGTGTTAACAGGAACCTGCAATTAAGAAGTCTTTCATATCTTTCCCTGCAGCGACGTTAGCCTATTGTCACCTCAAGGTGTTGCAGTATTGTCTCAGTGCACTGAGACTTGGTTGCCATGGTTTTATTAAGGGGAGTGACAGCTGTCCTCCACAAAAGCAGGCTTGGTTATAAATAAATAATTTGTTTGTTTGACTGTCGAGCCCAGGTTTTATTATTTAAAGTTAAACCGGGCGTGGACATGTGCAAAATGAAAGTATTTAGAAAAACGTTTGCCATCTGAATTATTATCATTATTATTGCAAATTGAGCTTCCATCTTGTATTTGGTCAGCAATTCAAAGTGTGCACATTTTATCTGTGTTTGCACACTTGTGTCTAGTTTCTGTGTGATTTGCACTTCAGCATGAACTCCCACCTACCGAGCCGGAGGGCAGAACGCAGCAGAAGGTTTTGCCTTTTCCACTGGTGTTCATGACATTTTTGTGCTCTCTAATGTAGATAATGGCTTTTCACTGCGGCTTGGTGCTGAGCGAGTGCTATTTGTGCTTCAGTGGTCGAGTCACCAAAGGGCATCGCAGGACAAAGCCAGGAGTGATGCGGTCGTCAAGGGTGTAAGAGGGGGGAGAGGAGGGGATGTGATTCCTGCAGCTCTCCCTCCAGTGCAAATACCTTTTTTTTTTTTTGCAATAGACTGAAGATTTAAAGTGCCTCAAAGATTGGTTTAATGTTTAGCGATGGAGAGAATGTGTAGGCTGTTGTTATAACCGCTGGGTTGCTGTCCAATGCTCGCAGGAAACAGGAAAGTGAAAGCTGTGCAGATTTGCAGCTCGCAGTTGTGCAGCCACAAGCGTTTGTTTCCACATGCATGTTGTAGGCATGGCAACTGCTCTCTATTTCACAGATCTGGGCTTACACTTGGTTTATGAAGCTTTGCATGACCCTCACATGTGCACTATGCAGCACACGTGTGTACCACGGACAACGATGCCAACTCTACCTCTGTCATCATAAAACACTGAAGCTGGTCTGCATGACGTAACCCAGTGTTGCCATCTGTTTGCTGCAGTCACTGAATTCTGTTACTCTTCATACTTCGTTTACATATTATAAGATTATTTTAATGTTACTGCTTTCAGTGTTAGCTGTGAGCGACTGAAACCAGCTTGTTTCTGCATGAACACCAGTGTGTGTTTGAATGTGTATGCCTCCTTTAAGGGCTTGTTGGTCTGAATAAACTAAAAGGTCCTCATCATGCCAGGAGGCAGACGGACAGAAAAAAAGTCAAAACTTATTATTTTTCTTCAATCTCAGTTAGTTGTCGGCTCCTTTATTTTCTGTTTTCAGTCCTCTTGCCTTGCAGCCCTGTAGGCTCTCTATGCAATATATATATATATATATATATATATATATATATATATATATTCATTCTGAGGTGAAGTCTGCCATTTTAAACCATTCTACGGCGGCCCCAAGGTGTAAATGAACATTTGAAAAAACACAACATTTGAAAAAAAAGGAATAAAATTAAGCCAAAATGGAAATGTTTTTTTTCTGTGTGTGTGTGTATTTATTTTTATTTTTTACTTTATTGACAACATAAAGCAGAACAACAGAACAATGAACAGTACACACACAATGGAGGTACAGTTGGCAGCAGTGGTTAATTTGAGCCGGATCCTGCCGGAACAAGATCCGGGAACTCTCTCATTTTGACCCGTTCTGTTTCGGCAACTCTTTGATCGGATCCGGCAGCTCCACCCCTAAAAGTCCAAAGTCATCGTGCATTTTTATTATTTATTAAAAAATACAACGAGAGGAGACGTTGTCTTTAGCCTGGCGCACCCAGTCTGTGGAGTGGATGTTCCGGCCGCAGCACGCGCGGCGCACAGCTCGCTCACACGCTCCTTCAAGGAGCAGGAGAGGAGCCTATAGGCGGCGGGGGTGTCCTTCTCTCCTCCTTCTCCTCTCCAAATATTGTCCCTACTCAGCGGGGCTGCCCACTGAAAAACACCTCCTCTCAGACTTCAAAACAGAAACAATCATTTATTCAACAGAATAAATAAATGCCTTGCAGACGGTGCACGTTACGCACAGCGTTTCCAGACAGCTCTAGCGCTCGCACATTAGCACGTGTCTGAACTCCCGCTACATTTCAGACATAATAAATAAAAAATAGCTTACTGTAAAAAATAAATTAAAAATACAAAGAGAGCGTTCACATTATACGTCATGTTTCAAAATGACAGCGCTAATTTGTCCAAATAACAACAGCGATCAAAATGTCAAAAAGACAGTCCCATTTACTTTAATAAAATTAATGGATGGATGGATGGATTGTTCTTAGTTGGACAACAGAGAATTGAAGCCTTCAGGTGCTTCAAACGGTGCCACGAGACTGGAGCAGGAGCAACAACCAGGACTGAGTTCAGTTCAGAACCGTGAAGTGGGGGGAGGGAGGACGGGGGGGTTGGGACACCTGACAGAATCAGATTTGCTCTATTCACACACAACCTGCTATTCCTCTGCAAAATAGTCATTTTATTAAGTGTCTACAAATGTAGGTAAATGTTGATGTATAACAACCCGATAAAATATACCAGAATGCAGGAAATGGCATCTCTGTTATTCAAAAATTTCTGTGAGAGGACCCACGGACCCCCCCCCCCCCCCCCCCCCCCCC